TCTTCTTGTGATGCCTGCAACTGAGGGAACCAACCAAAGATGTCTTTGGTGATCTTTCCTGCTGACCTCCCCCTAGGGGTTCTGAGGAGCTCCTAGCCAGTTTTATCCCACCTGAGAGGAGTTCTGAGTGTGGCAGTCCTGACATCTCTCCTAACCTAACTAGTCTTTCTATCACCCTTACTTGCTAACTAATCGGTCTTGCCATCCCAAAGGAACCAAGTTAGATATTGAATGTATAGTACTTTCGTGATGACAGATAGTATGATTATTCCAAACAGTAGATCAGCAGAAGGTGGAAATCAAACAGCCTTAAAAACCTCCATCTGTCCACAGCTCTCCACATAGGATTCCACTTCAAGCAAATAAGACAGCCACAGCCATGGGACCCTGCCTCCCAGCTCAGAATACCAGCAACCCATAGCACTCCCAGTCCACTCTTCCATCACCCTCTCTTCTCAGTTAGGGACCAGCCTGGAGCCTTCTCTGCTCCCTGCTAGAAGCTTCTCCAACTGCACGTAGGACATGGCTCCATACAACAGCCCCTCTCAGGTTTTGTCCCTTTAAACCACTCTCTTCTGGCCTCTCCCTGTCAGCTTTCAAGATGTTCACATCTCTCATCCTCAAAAACAAAGTCCTCTCTTGAACACATGTTATCGTGCTCCCCCCTGCAAACTTCTTCGTAGACCTGTCCCCTAGAACCACCTCTTTGTGACTGTTCTTAGCCCACTGTCTTCTGGCCTCTGACCCCACTGTACCTCCACTGCTCCTGGTGCTCTGTCCTGAGGCTATTCCCTCTGTCTGCCCCTGGCTTCCAGGACAAAGACTTCTCATTTCTCCTAGCTCTCAGGTTTCTCCTCAGTCTTCAGCATTCCTCTCCCTCTGCCCGTTCTTGAATGTTTAGGGCTCTCTTTTTGCTTCACAGACCTCAGGGCAGCCATCTTCTTATCTATGATTTGATTTCCATGTGAATGCGGATGGCTCAGATCTCTGCCTCTCTATTGAACCCAAGACCCCTCCACCCATGTGGTGAACCACTGTAGATGTACACTTGGAGTTCCCTCAAACATAACCTATCTGAAATGGAACTGATCATCAATCACCCCCCCAAATAAATCACAATTACCTAACACTTTTCCTTATCACCCCCTTTGTGTTCCCTAAACTGTGACCCACTTGCTCAGGCAGGGAAGCTGGGCTCTTCCCTATCTTTTCCCTCACATTCTACCTTTTAAAGTATGTTTGAAATCCACTCCTTCTCTCTATCCCACTGCTAACATCTTGATCCAGAGTTTCCTTGTCGCTCCCTTGGACCAGCCGCCTAACTGGGAGAGTTCTGTTTATTTATCCTTTCTCCATACTAAAGCCAGGTGATCTATTTTACACATATATACAATCCTTCACCTTTTCTACCTCAAGCCTTCAGCAGTCCTTAGAAGCGAGTTCTCCCTCCACAGCATGGCCTGCCTAAGACCTGCATGATTGGCTCCTTCCCTTTCTCCATACCCAGACACAGGGATCTTCTGCTTGTTTTATGTGGTTGTTTATCCTGGTGCAGGGACCTCTTCCCCTTACCTACCCTCTCCTGTCTAACTCTGATACCCTCCAGTGTACACTCTCCTTCCTCCTCAAAGCCTTCTTTGATCCCTCCTGTCTGGGTTAGGTGCCCCTACACTGTGCATTTCACAGCTCCTCATTATTAAATGCCTATTTGTTTACCTTTTTGTCCCATTAAACTGAGAGCCCAGCTGAGTAAGGATGGCATTTAAATGCTCTAGCACCTGGCTCAAGGCTTGCAGTTAGTAATCACTTAGTAAATATTAGCTGAACGAATGAGTGAGGTTTGTTGGTGTCCACTTTGAGAAACTTCAGGTGCCCGCTCCCCTTTATACATAGCAATTCCAAAAGGTTGATTCCAGATGGGTGATGAGAGCAGAGGGACGGGAACGCATTCTGATGGGCGTACTCATAAAGTGGGTACTGTGCAAGCTCTTAAATGGGAGCAGGTTTAAGGTTGAGACAGAAAGTTCAAGCTTTCTCCTCCATCCTGCTGGGAGTGAGACAGCATCCTTGTTTGCATGTGGAGAACTACTGAGGGCTTTTGAAAATGTGCTGCTCTGGCTGGACCCAACTAAGGTGACCTACTTCTTATGTGCCTCTTTCTGCCCTTTCCTTGTCATCATAGGAATGTTCTCAGAGCACATATGTCTTATAAGAACCTTCTGGCAAGTTCATGGTCATCGTCTGCTTTGAGGTGAGCCCAGGAGCTTGATTTGGAATTTGTTTTCAGGGCTCTTGGATGTTATTAAGCTCGAGTTATTTCTTTCTTTTTGGGGGGGGTACCGGGGATTGAACTCAGGTCCTTGTGATTGTGAGGCAGGCTCCAGAACCACTGAGCTAAATCCCCAGCCCCATAGCTCTAGTTATTTCTGAGTATCCCCAAAGCGGTTACTTGGGTACACTTGAATGGGTTCCAACCTGGGTCATCCTCCCCACCCCTTCCCTTCTGGTCAGCCAGAAATGGGCTTGAGAGAGAATGAATTTCTGGGCCAATTGTTCATGAGAGGGTGGCTCCCACTCCACCTGACCCAACATTCCCTTCAGGCAAGGTCGTTATCAGCAAACAGCCAGCTAGACAGACAGAGTTAATAAAAATCTATCTTATTAACCGTCTGGCCTACCAGCATTGATCACATTAGAAATGACGCCACACACACAGTGCCCATTATGTGCATGGGACAAGGCTCAGCAGAGCTCAAAAAGCCACTTAAATCTGTGTAGGAGTGACTCCTCTATGTGCCTGAACATCCCCCAAACTAATAACCTCCGACAAAGCACTGCCGGGGAAAATTCCTTGCAGATTTGAGATTTTCACTCTCTTAATCTCCTAGCTCAATAAAGCAAACACTCCCTGCAACAAATTAAATACTTTTATTAAAGTACCCCTTCCTCCATTCTCTTTGATGTGGGTATGGTGGGACCTGGGTGTCTGTGTGAGTGGCTGTCCCTTACTCCCCCAGCATTTCTCTTCTGTTTCTCCAACGAGGCCCAGAATCTACTAGGATTTACTGTTTTAGCTTCTGCAAACTTCAGAGACCAGCTTTCCTGCGATAGGTCCCATAGCCTGTTAGCTGAGGGAAATGTTTTCCATTCTTTTGATGAGGTGACAGGCTCCATTCAAGACTGACCTAAGGGGCTCTATTCTTTCAGTTTACCTAGAAGAGGACCCAACTGGGCTGTTCAGGCCACAGTGGGTTCTCAGCCAGTTGTGGAGGCCTTCTGACTTCACTGGGAGACTTGCTGGTGATAATTTGAAAGGTTAGCTGGAAACTAGATGGGTTTAGCTGGAGAAAAGATTGCAGGAGGGTAGGAAAGAGGTAGAGGAGAGTTGGGGAGGGAAGGTCCTCAGCTGCTTTCTTCTACTGATTCCTGCCCCCCACCTCTGCCACAGGTTGACCCTTAGCCACTCCCCTTTTGGGACCTACCTGGAATTGGATTCAGTCATTTGAATTTCTGGTCATTAATTTATTTTTACTATGGGCTTGAGACGGTTATTATGAGGCTTAGAAAGCCTGCCTTGCCAGGAAACCCACTGCTTTGCAAATGGTAACTGCCCAAAGCCTCTACAGTCTAAAAGGAGCCTCTTTAAAAAAAAAAAAGGGTTTTTTTTGGTTGGTACTGGGGAACAAACTCAGGTCCTTGCATTTGCGAGGCAGGCAGCAGAACCACTGAGTTAAATCCCCAGCCCTCAAAACATTTGATGTATAGTTTATCAGTTTCACGGTTGGGTCTGTTGTGCAGCAGGTTCTGTGGATTCACAGAGAAAACAGAAACAGTGTTTTTTTTAAGGGTGACTTCAGTTCTCTGAGGGCCTGAGGCTCCTCAGTAAGGGCTCCATTATGTGTGCAATGGGCCTACATAGTGGATCTAGTCCTGGCAGTTGTTGCCAGGGGTTCTGGGTACAGAGCCTTCCCAGTGTAGGGGAGAAGGCTCCTTCTCTTTCCTGGGCCTCTGAGAGGAGTTCTCTGATTTCCTCCTCTCTATTGACCCACCTTGGGCAGAAGAAATCTGTTCCCAGGCAAAACAGTGGCTTCAGACTCCAGCTCTTCAGAGGTGCTAAGTCACAGGAGCTCAGACTGTGCCCTGGGCATTTGAAATGTTCTGACCCCTCCTGTCAGCCCTGGATAGATGTCCTGGGCTCTGTAGTTGTCCCCATGTATCTCCAACTCCAGCAGAATTGCCTCTAGACCCATGTCCTCCTCCAAAAGTCAAAATAGTCCCTGAGAGCTGGAGTAGGGCAGGAAATTGGCTGAGAAAATAAGGAATGCATGACAAAGTACATAAACCCTCAAGCTGGGGAGTCAGACAGGCCTGAACTGGATCCAGCTGCCTATTTGCTCTGACTCTTGGCCTTCTGCACCTTGGAATCCTCTCTATAAAATGGGATTATAGTTCTCAACCCTCAGTGAACCCTCTCTGCTCCTTACACTTTTCTCCGTGGCTCCACCTCTAAAGCTCAGTCTGCTTGTCCAGCCTCAGACTCTAACAAGTCCCTTTTCTTCAGTGGTCCACTAGAACTTTCCATTGGATTTTCCCTGATGCTTAGATTTGGTGTGCCTAGCAGACATTCTCCTTCCTCCAGGAAGCCCTCCCTGTCTACCCCAGACTGCTTGGTACTTTCCATCTATAGCGTCTAGTTAAAATCGTTTGACATTAAGAATATATATGCTTATATTTTCAGATTCTTGTGGGTGACCTCTCTACTTGGATTTTCATTTATTTGAGGGTAAAAACAAAGTCATAAGTTTATTTATTCTTTAGTATCCCACAAGTTCTGGACACCAAGAAAGGCATGTGAGAAGGTCTTTGTGACCAGCAAGCTCCTTGCAAGAACCCAAGATATAAGGAACCATATCTCACCAGGAGGGTTGGCCTAATCTTGGCTCTGGGAACACTACAATGAGAAACCCTCCCTGTCCCTCCTTCTGGGGGCTCTACCTCACCTGGCTGACTCCTTCCATTCCATCTGGTCTCCATCGTGCTGCAGAGTATCCATCTCTGTGAAGAGGGTGGGGTTGGGAGCCTCATCTTCCTCCCCCAGGATGTCCTGGAGCTGCTCAGCAGCTGGAGAACCTACAAAAGAACATGGTAGGTCTGCCAAGTGCCCCACAGAGGCAGGAGACCACAAGGCCAACAGTAAGGGAGCAGGAGCCAAAGGTAAGGAAAACTATTTCCTAATTCAGTAAAATGAAGCATAGCTTCTGGGCACATCACTTTGGGTTGAATGTAGACAAGATATTCTTTGAGATAAAGAGATAAAAAAAGATCTGGACTGTATTTACACTACAGGTCTTGTAGCTGATGGTGAAGAAGGATGGAAAATATCCAAAGTCAGGAAAGCAGCAAAAAACAGAAAAATAATAGAAAGTAAAGTGAGAACACTCTGATCCAACTTCAGCATAACAACCCAGAGGGATCTTTTCTCCCGATAGGCCCCAAACAAGTCAACCACCAAAAGTGGTTATGAAGAGGAAGTCAGCCATGTGAGAAGACAGTCTTACTCAAGTCTGCCACATGGACCCACCGTCTCTCTTGGTCTCCTGAGCACCCAGCCTTCTTTCAATGGCCCACTGGAAGTCACCTCCTGGGTGTCGCTTAGGCACCTCAAAGTTCAGCACCTCAATAATGCACATGTATCCTTCCCCAAATATGCTTCTTCCATCTCTGGACCTTCCTCCCTCTTTCCCTCCCTTCCTTTCAGCATTTAGTGAATGCCTACTGTGTGCCAGGCATTGTTCTAGGAGTTGGGAAATAAAGCTGTAAAGAAGACTCATGTGTCTTTGTTCATCTAATCTTATGTTCCAGAGGCAGAAATAGATAATAAACAAGTAAAAAAATCTATAAACCACCATTTCAGGCAACGATAAGTGCTCTGAAAAGACAAGATGACCAACAGAGCTACAGGAGATAGCATACCCAAAAAGGCCTCTCTGAGAAGGGCATTTGAACTGTGACTTGAGCGATTTGAATGAGTCACTTCTGCACATCTGGAAAAAGAGTGCTCCAACTGTTACAAGCACCCAGAGATGGCAATGTGCTTGCTGATCAGTGTGGCTGGAACATGGTGAGCCAAGGGGAGAGAGGGACAGCCTGTACTGAAGTAGTGACCAATGCCTTGGCTACCAGGCATCCCTGTCCACCCCACAGACTGGGCTCCAGGACTTATCATCACCATACCTCTCTTTCCTTCACTTCTACCTCTATATTACAGTTTTCAAGAATACAGTCCATTCTCACCAACCCCATTGCCCTGCCCTGATCAATTTCTCATCAGCAGTCTCCTGGACCTCATTAAGTCTTCCCCTTTATCCTAGTCTCTTACTTCCTCAGTTTACCATTCCTTCCTTCCCTCACTTATTTAACAATAGGCCTCCAATAGACAATAATTTAAAGTTCTTTCTCATCACATTTTTCATTATCTTCCTTTTTGACTTCCCAATAAAAGCAATGCCCAAACAAGAACTCACTGGCCCTGTCTTCCTCTCTGTATCTGAGGGCTCCAGAGGCAAGCAGGGGTGCCCAATAGGCTTCTAATCCATCTAGCAGTGAATATGAATCTCAGAGCTGCCACCTGTGAGTGGGTAAATTCAGTCTGAGTGAACAGGGTTGTTGGGATGAATAAATCAGGTAAGAAGAATAAAACACCTGATATAAGGCTTAGCCTGTAACAGGTCCTCAGCTCTCCTTACCACTAACCCCAGGACCCAGGCTCATGAGCCTTTCTGTAGAAAACCACTCAACTGTACAAAACAGAGGGTTTCTACCCTCTGTGGATCTCAAGGGCAGCAACCTTCCACTCACCCTCGCCACTGCTCATCTCCAGCCCCCTATGCCACTTTTAACTTTTGCTTTTTCAATTAAGTTTTTTGATCCATCTCCTACCCCACTTCATTAAGAAAATAAAGGCCTACAGGCGTGAAGACATCATATTCCCATCTTTTAGTCCTTCTGTATCCTTACCCACATTGCCATAAAAGGAGTCCTTCTTCTGCCTAAATCCTTGGTTTCATCCCTCCCTCTCTGGCTCTTGTTACCTCCTGTTCCTGTCACTGCACACCTACTAGCCACCCACTGCCCTCATTGCCTCTGATTGCACCACCCATCCCAATCCCTAGATAGCAGCAGAGATTGCTTTGAAAACATTTCAAACTTGTTCATATGCTGGACTTCTGGGAGTCATGATGCTCCTTGGGCTGTACCATAAACTACAGCACACGTGAATCAAATAATTTTACTAGCAGAAAACGTCATTAATTTATCTGACTGATGAACCTTACCAGTTCTCCAAGGATCACAGTTCAATGACTACTTTTTTTCTCAGTGCTGAGGATCAAACCGAGAGCCCTTGAGTATGCTAGGGAAGTGCTGTACCACTGAGCCATACCTCTAGCCCTCAATTACTATTTTAAAAACGCTATCATTCAGGTGAAAACCCTTCAGTGGGTCTCCATTGACTAAACCTGGAATTGGGGATATGGCACGAAACATCTTTTGTGAACTTGCCCTAGCCTTCCTTCCTAAGATTTGGTGTGTCCTTCACCCAGCTGCCCTGTAACAGCTGCCCCTGACCCCAGCCTTCCCCAAGCCCAGCCAGGTGGTACCACACACAAGCCCCTGAAGACGACTTGCCACCACTTGGTCCTCTGTGCCTACTATTCTGTAAATCTGGGTTCCCTTTCCCCTTTCCAGGCCAGAGAGAAGGCAAATAAATGGAGCTTATACTGAGAAATGAGACTAGACAGAGCACAACAGGCCAGAAGCAGCCCTGTCTGGTGCCATTACCTGCTCCCTGGAATAGCTGAGCACAGGAGTCCCCGGCACTCGGTGTTGCCTCTGGACCCAGCCTGTTTCTGCTGCTGCCACCTTCACCACTGCTTTCACAAGTCCTCTTCCCCACACAACAAAATCACTTTTGTTCCCAGTTAAGCAGCAAGGGAAGGTGTGGAGGAGGGAATGTGAAGAGGAAGGGGGTGGGGGATGGAGAGAGGGCTCTGTAGAGAGAATAGAGAGGTGGTAAATGTGAAAAAGACTGTGTGAGGAGGGAAAACTACATTAGAGCAAATTAAAGTTGCTACTAATGTGTTTGTGTGTGTGTGTGTGTGTGTGTGTGTGTGAGAGAGAGAGAGAGAGAGAGAGAGAGAGAGAGAGAGAGACAGAGAGAGAGAGGAGAAGAGAGGAGAGGAGAGGAGAGGAGAGGAGAGAGGAGAGAAGAGGAGGAGAGACAGAAAGAAAGAGATATCTCAGGTGCACTGGAGAGAGAAGGGCTCAGTGGCCACAGGAGAAGCTGGAGCAGAAAGCCTGTTCTCCACAGCAACAGGGGTGGTGGCAGCTGAGGGCCTGTGAGAGGACTGGCAGAGCTGCCTGTCTACCCTTCCCCCAGGAGCCTCCCCCCATGCCTGGAGACTCTAGGAGAGCCCAGGCACCAGCTCCTCTCCTCAGGCTCATTTATAAAGGCCGGGTAGGATTGGCCTTGAGACTACCTAGGGTCTCCTTAAGAGCTGTGGATGTAGACACACTGGCTAAAAGTGGCCTGATAGGGCCCTGTTTTCAGCCCCAGTCCCAGGGTAAAGGTGGTACTGTTGGAGGGAAGTGTTTGCTGTGGGGTCTCATATTTCACAGCAAGCAGTGTTTGGTCATTTGTGTTCCAAATAGCATGTCTCTCTTTCTCTCCAAACTTGAAACCCAAACTCCTGGTCTGTTTGTCTACCCCTAAGATAAAGTACCAAATTTACCCCTCGGTGAGTGATTTCTGAGGAGCCATGGCACTGTGGGAACTTGTCACTTCAGGGTGTGTGCTGAACCCCATTGGGAAATTATTTTGCTCCTTTGAGAAACTCCTAATCTCCTGGGTTTGGTTCAGCAAGTGCTTACTGAGTACTTAGAATGTGCCAAGGTTGATTAGAGGTCACTGAGCAGGCAGCTGCTCCATGGAGCTACAAATCCTGAATTCACTAAGTCTTGGAGCTAAGGAGAGGGAGCTTAGTGAAGGTTGAGCCCAAACCCTTCATGTCACAAATGAGAAAAATTCAGATCTAGTTTACATTACGCAAGATCTGCAGGCACCAGCTCAGGTTTGTGGAGAGCCGAAGTCTCCTGACCTCTTCCACTCCACACCGCCCTGTTTGTGGGCTCCAATGGCCACATTTTGTACCTGCGGCTTGAGGATGCCCATTTTAAAGCTGAGAAAACAAGAACAGGTCATATGTAGAATGCTGGACTCCAAGCAAAGCTGCCATCATATAGACACCTTGAAGTAGACTGGCCCAGAAGTTTCCGCCTTGTTGATCAGTGAGGGGCCTGGCTCACTGCGGATCCTGGGTGATATACCTTGCACTGCAGTGTGGCTGAGGATGGCCCAGCTCTGCCTAGTTCTGCTGAGCAGCTATTGCAGTCCATACCAAGTCAGAGGTTTAGGTGACTTCAACACCCAAAGAAAGATTCCCAAGGATGCCAGAGGGACTCTATTAATTTTTTTTTTTTTTTAGACAGGGTCTCACTGTGTAGTTGAGACTGACCTGGAAGTCACTATGTGGCCCAGGCTGGTCTCAAACTCACAGCAATCCTCCTACCTCAGCCTCCCGAGTGCTGGGATTACAGGCATCTGCCACCACGCCTGGCTCTATTAACATTTTTTAAGAGTCCAGACCTGGATTCAACTCTTGATGGTGCTAATTCCTATGAGTAGAATCTTGGCAAATCATTAAGTTCTTTAAGACTCAATTCTCCCCTCTATTAAGTGGGAATAACCATACCTACCTCCCTGGATTGTGGTGGAGATGAAATGAGATGATATACATAAAGTATCTGGCATAATGCTTGGCACACACCAGTCACTCCATAAGTGATGTCGCTATTACTTACGACAAGGGGTAAGGAAGGGGTGACCCTTCCTTTCTTGTTACCAGTCACCAGCCTGCCCCCTCTACACATTCCAGGCTTAATCCTTTCCAGCTTCTAAACTCCTCCTTCCTTTCCCCTGCCCTCCTTCCCTCTCAAAGCCCCTCCCTCTTTCCAACAGAAGGTTTATCTTACTACATGCAGAGCTACTGCATGGGGTTTCTCTATAACACTGT